ATGGCTTTAAACTAAAAGAGGGTAGACTTAGTTTAGATGTAAGGAAGATATTCTTCACTGTGAGGGTGGTGAGGCACTGAACAAGTTGCCCAGAGAGGCTGGGGATGTCCCCTCCCTGGCAGTGTTCAAGGCCAGGTTGGATGGGGCTTTGGGCAACCTGGTCTAGTGGAGAGTGTCCCTGCCTATGGCAGGGGCGTTGGAACTAGATGATCTTTGAGGTCCCTTCCAACCCCAACCATTTTATGATTCTATGATTCTTTCAGCATAAGAACCTACCATTTCTGTTGATAATACAAGGAAACTGGATTCGTAAGAACAATGGTGAGATCGGACAGTGTGAATACTGCTGCTGCGAGACTGGTCTTAAGTAGGATCTGTACTGGCCATGTACAGAGTCACACAAGGTTGGAATGTACCGATGAGCTTAAATGGCTGAAGAGACATAAATTTGTACCTATACTGTCCCACAAGAAAAATACATTTTATAAATGTCTAGGCACAGGCTTGTGGAAACATGAACATGCATGCAGTTTTGTACTCCCAAGATGGGTCAAGAAATAGAAATTGACCCTGAACTAATTGTTTGGGAGGTGTATAGTGAAATACAGAATTCGAATTGAGACCCTAAAAATTTATTCTTCTGTCAGTGTAAGATACTTTATTACAGGATGAAATGCAGAAGATACTTAGTAATGTCTACAGACTACAGTTGGTGTTCTTACCAAGTTTAATGAAAGATTAGGATTCTGTTTTTACAGCTCTACTACCACTATTACTCTTTGAGGCAGGAAAAAAAAGTCCTTTTGGTCTTGTCACCCGGGTTATGGTGTAAGTGTGTTGGTTTGTTTCTTTTCAATCTTTATAACAGAAAACATCTGCTGGGACTGAGAATATAAATGGTGAACTTAAACCAAAAACTAGACGAAGATGGGGACATCTTGTTAGAACAGTGAAGAGTTCTGAAGACTGGGATGACTTGGAAGACCTTGATTTCAGCTCTTCCATCACGAGGGTGGACTTGAAAAACAAGAAGAGGCAGAGTGATGAAACTCTTTGTAGGTAAGTTGGTTTCTTTTATGTCCATGTGCTATTTGTTCTTATTTCTTTAAGCTTTTCCTCTTTTTTTCATATTGTTGCTCTTTTTGCTTTCTATGGATCTAGAAACATATATCCAGGCCGGTAAAGGACATGCAGCTTGTCTCTCTCCTGCTTTGTCTTGGCTGCTTGTTGAATGCAGACCTTTGAATTGCAACGTGTTGTTTGATGGACAGTGCACCTTTCTATACAATTCCTTGTTCATTGTTCTGCACTGAAAATGATGCTTAGCTTAAGTCTTTCCAAGTTAATCTTTGAATATATACTTTCTGTTTTATATATGAGCTATTTTGATATATTCCACACATAAACTGTTTCGGGTGACTATAAGCTGCTGTTTCCATGGATCATACACAGTAGAGAAAAACTTACTGAGTGACTTGTAACTTTAAAAGCAGTATAAAAGGGAACTAGAACCACAAATCTGATTTTCAGGGGCACTTGCATGGCTTCAGGCTGAAAATACTCCCCGTTGTCCGTGCATTTATGCTGTAGCAAAGATAGTATGAGGAAATGATTTCTGGAGGTGGGATGGAGATGAGAAGGCCAGCTGTGGATAAACATACGCTATAAGAATTGGACTAAGTGTAGCAATTTTTGGGTTATAGATTTGAAAGCATTTTGGACCTGAAGCCTTCAGATGCTGTAGGCTCTGGCAGCAGTGCACCTTCCCATCCGACCTTTCCACGGCAGGACACTCCCACATTGCGAGTTTCTGCAGCAAAGCAACACTACTTGAGACATTCTAGATATCTACCTGGTTAGTAAAAAATACTTATTTCTTTTTCTTCTTGTAATTCCCACAGCAGTATGAAATAGTTATTGGTACATTAGGCTTTGAGCTTGCGGAGGAGGTCTACTTCTTAAAGAAAACGAGGAGAGCAAGAGCTTTGCTAATGTATATGGCCATGATACAAACTACATTCTAACAGTCTATCAGCTGAGGTAAATCTTGCTTACAAGAAGGAGAGAGCATTGTTGGTACTTCTTGCTCCTGCTGGATACTCTTTCGTGCTTTGAAATGTGATAGAAAATGTCTTAATGTGCCAAGCTATTCCCTGTTTCCCTAAGAAGAATGAGACTGGTCTTCTAGACTGGAAAAGAAAGTGCCCTATGTTTACCTCATGAGTATGTAATACCATGAACAACAGAAGCTGACTAACAGTGAGAATATGCTTTGGTGTAGTTTGGAGTTAAATAGAATGCAAATCCGTGTCTCTGTAGGGGTATTGCATGCCTGTCTTCATGTTAACCTCTGCTGTACTGAGACCAGCACTGGGATGGGATGAAGTACAGGAGGTGGACATCATGTCTGCCTGTTTTTAAAATGAGCTGTATGGAAATGTATCCTCTTTCATAATTTCTGTTAATAAAGGCAGTGTTAGCTGTTCATTCCCTTGTAATACTAATACTTCAAAATTAATTAAGTAAACTAAAAAGTATTGTGATGGTAAACTCAAGTCTTTTTTTCCTGAAACAATTTCAGTGTCTTTCAAATTGGCTCACTAAGTAGAGTTTTGGTAGCTAGAAGTTGTGTTACTAGAGGAAGTTGTAAAACACATCGATCACAAGCCTGCTTTTGCTTTACCATAAATTGTGAGTTCATCGTTGCACATAAGGTACCCTGCTTAAATATGGGATGTATATGAAATACAAATAATATGTGAGATATGAACTCTACTGCAAACTGTTTGCACATGGTTTCAGTAGATACACCAAAGAAGAGTACAGTAGTATGAGAAATGTAATCTACTATTATTTACTCTCAAGTTATCTTGTCACTGTTAGGCTGTAAAATGCTGTGTTTGATACGAAGCATAGATTTCTTTTATGTCACAGGGTTCACCTTCTGTGACTTGAGAATATTTGTAAGGGTCCTGTCCCTTGACATAAGCAGCTATTGCTGCTACTGGAACTACTTACACTGTTATCTTGGCAGGATTAGGGCCTATGGCTAGTCACAGCATTCCTGTGGGAGAGGATGGGAAGTAACCCAGAGGCATGTTAAAAGTGAAAAGGTTTTGGTTAAGTTCACTGAACTGGACATCTGCTCTAAGATTGTGCATCAGATGGAATGAATGCAAGCCTGTGTAACAACAGAAAATTCAGCGTGGTAATTTTTGCATTTTTGCCATAGGAATAAGCACAAGGAATACCATAGTCTCCACTTCCAGCAAAGAGTCTGTTCCGCCTAATCCCTGGCCTGGTTCTGGTTTGCCTGGGAAAGCTGCTGGTTTGGGCGGAAGTGTTAACAGGATGAATTCAGGTAAGAAGCTGTGCTTAACACTTTGAGAAAAGATAATAGGTGATGCCTCTGCAATTCCAAACAACTGTATTTTGGGGTCACCCATTTATAATACATTGACAGCTCTGAAGGTACTTGCTACCATGTCTATTCTTTCTGTCGAAATCAGTTATGAGCACTGTTCCTTGAATTCGGAGACTACCTTAAACTGAAACATAGTAACTTCTTCTAATGAATCCCCAAAAGTCTGGTTTGAAGTACCACATGCATAGAAGGTTGGACAGCTTAGGTCTGTTCCACCTGAAATACGTGATCTTGCCTTCAGTTTCCCTCGTCAGTTTTTGTCAGTCATATTTTCAGGTTTCCAAATTATTTTACAGAAATGACTGTCATAGAGGAGGAAGCTGGTCTAAATTGAACTAGCCATACACACCACTCTTGGTATGTGAATAAAGCAAATAAAATCTATCATCTGTTATGTCTTTTAAATGATGCTGTTTAAAATAGTGAAATAATTGTAGCTTTAAAAAATTCAGACAAAAAGCAAAACTCTTCAATTTTTCTTCTTCAGGTTTTTGGGGCATTTGGTATTTCAGGTATTTGATCCCTATTACTTGATTTGGAGTAATTAATTTGTAGATTTTTATATTAGATTTTACCAGATATACTTAAACATGTTGATGTTTCTAGAGTGTATCTATGTATTTCCTCTCTAAATCTTTCTTGGCTTCAGGTTTTCATGTGATGTTACAGTTCTGCAGTGCAGTGCAGTACTTGTTTTGCATATGTTGTTACGAAAATGTTTGATTGAGAAAATTTTGGTTGAGTCTTGGCCCAAAGAAACGTTTTAGGCCTTTAGAAACTCTGGTTTAAAAATAAAATAAACCTTAAAATTTTGGATGTAATTTAATCAGAAAATTGTTCTTTAAAGACTCAAGATGGGAGGATGTTGTAAATGGCTAAACTACATGAGAACCTGTATATAAGTAGCACGTGTCTCCTTCCTGGCTCTTCTGCAAGTTTTTGCTTCTTCTGTAGCTGCATAGGATATCATTAGATTTTTTTCTTTTTTACTTATTACCACCATTTCCCACAGTATGCTTTGCCACTGCTCTAGTTCATTATAGGCATATGTGCGATAGATCTGATCTGTGCATGCTGACTGGTTTAGTGTCCATCTGCACTATGACTCTAGACTGTTTTGTTTATAACTATTTTTGTTAGAATTTGTATAGCTTATCCTACAGGTCAGTCAAACCTGTTCCTGCTCATCTTAGGGACAAGTTTTGTAGCTGACCTTCCAAATTTGGAACATGGATCAGTCCCAATTTCTTAAATTGCACTCTTACTGGCTTCAGTAAGAGCTTTTGGGTAGCACCAGAGCCCCAGACTCACTACATAGGTATCAAGAGTGAGTATATTCATAGGACCCAGTTACTGCGAGTCAAACAAAATAACTCCAACTGAAATGCTGTTTTGAAAGCTTTGAGAAACCTTGAAAAAGCTGAGATGTCAGGGAGGAGCAGGAATTGCCCTTCTAAAAGTACAATTTGTACTGGTTTTCCATTCATCTTCAATGCAGTCTGATGCTGACAGTCTCCTGAATGCAGGTATATATATAGGATCTGTGGATTTCTAGTGTCTTCATTGAAGTGCTTGTTTTCATCAGTTCATGATCAGGCTTGATCTTGAAGGTGACCCATCGGTGCACACCTTTGTCATCTGTTGATAGCTCAGGTGTTCCTTGCCATTTCTTTCAGGGCCCATAGGATCAAGCGGTCTAACTGGTGGTTATATCCCTTCATTTCTGAAGAAGGAAGTAGGCTCTGCTGGGCAGAGGGTTCAGTTAGCACCAGTTGTAGATCCATCTTCCAGTAAGTACAGTACCAAAGTTGTCTTGGTCCCTTGCTCATTACTCCGGCAATGCTGTATGTATGCAGCACTGAACTACATATCTTTGCTTTACTTTATTTGTAAACATTTGACTGACTGGAACCACAGTTTGTAACCTTGCAGAACTTCGTATGGAGAAGGATTTGGGTTGTTTTTACTTTGTTTATGAAATACGTGGTTTTATCCACAGCATATTTCAGTGGGACCTAGAGGTTAGTGTGAGAGCTGGCACGGAATTCACACTTGTCAAATCAATGATATAAATACTCCTTGTCTGATAAGATTTTAGGCATTGGATCCACTATTGTTTCACGTATGCAAATTCTATTAAAAAAGGAGGCTTATTTCCTGGAGAAATAGGGATCTGGACCTTTCTACTCACTGAACCTTTATCTCATGGCATTTTCCTTTGTCCCGTAGATTATGCTTCTCTGAAGTCAGTAAGACCCCATCTTGGACGGCCATCGTTCAATTCACCTACAAAAAGTACGCCAAGGTTGATGCCTCTCCCACCACCAGCTCAGCCAATCCACGGGCGTGTTGACTGGTCTGCAAAGTATGGTGCTCACCGGTGACGTGTGGTAATACTCTCTGAACCAGTGCGTGTTTCCCATGAAATGGTGGCTAACAGGAGACAATTTGATACTGTTTTATATACCTGTAAATTTAAAAGAAACAGATCTTCTATGAACGAGACATTTTGAAGGGTTTTTTTACTTTTATTTGTATTAATTTGAATGCAATCTTGTACCTTTTTGTATAAAATTGTTTTGTTATATAATTGGGTCCAGTTATTTTCATAAATCTGATATATTTTGTATATATGGCTCAGGGGGTTTGGCGTTTTTATATGATAAATTTTTATAATGATCTTTTTTAAAATTTAACTTTTCCTTTATTAGATTCAACTTTTTTATAAAAGTGGATTAAAAAAGCAAAGTGGTGCAATATTGCAGTGGAAGAGACATACTGAGGAAGGGGCATTCGTCAGACTTTTCTGAAGTTTATGTGCTAAATGAGGCTGTATAATTTCAGTGATGCCACATCTTGATGCCATGCTCTGTTGTCCTATACTCATTTGCTTTGTACTGACATCAAAGGAATGAGTGACCAACAGTCTAAACTCTCCTTTGCAGTTACTGAGAGACTGCTGAAAGTCCGTGGGAGGCTTTTTTTTTTTTTTAAATTGATTTTGCCTTTAAAAGGTTTTTGTTGGACTGCTGTCCAGCTTTCCAGCTCCATTCTTTTGCTTTTACCAAATTTGGGGAATCTTCTTGTTTGGCGAAGGGTGAATACCCTTCTGTAGATCTGTTTTCTGACACAGCGCACTTTTGTCCTGCTTTAAAGTTGCTTCTTGGCATTGTTCACTATGAAACAGAATGTGGACCTACCTCTCTTAAATTCATTTAAGTGTTCTAATGATTTCTAAGGAGAAAAATCAGATTCTGTTTCTTCTTCTTTGTTGTTGGGACTGTAAGATCTGAAGACATATTTAAGACAGTATTAGCAATTATAAAGCTGATTTCAGAGTGTCAAAGTATATGCCAGAAGCAGAGTTTAACGAAACAATATTTATGCAGCTGACTTAATTTTCACAACTGTTTTAAATCCCTTTTGGGGAAAAAAAAATCCAGAGGAAATGAGTCAGTTTAAGCTTACTTCAGTTCGTCTTCACTTAAATAGATCTTCACTAACAATGTGAAGAATGTGTCAGCTTCTGTAAATTAGGCCCTCAGGCTCTACTGGGAAAAGTGGGACCTTACCTGGTCCTGCTAAAAAAACATTTCAAAATTGCAATTGATTTCACAGAAACTGATACAGCTCTTATAACATGAGTTAACTGCTCTTCTCAGAGAAAATGAATTAGCAGGTTATAGAGAAAAGAAAATAGCCTCATAGTCTGGTTTAATTTTGCACTGGAAAGGAGTGCCAGAGTCCAGCCATCAGCAAAAGATTCATTTAGGTCACAGTCAGCACTTGGCTGTTCCTGCACCTCCTTCCAAAGAAAGAAGGTAGAACACTACAGTGCTGTGGGAGAACATCTTTTATAGCTGCGTCTTGGAACAGCACCCCCAAAGCTGAAGTGTGCTGTGAAAATGCATCTTCCTGCAGAACTATACAGGAACGCTCACCGTTCTGAGTTCATTTTATGAACAGATCAGGCAAATCGTATGTTTATGAGACTTAAATCCAGTCTAAAGGGATCAGAGCAGGTGTGGTTCTCAGCATCCAGCCATTCCCCAGGAGCTGGATGGCCAGTGTGTCAGTGCGATCCTCTGTGGGAGCTGCCGGCACCCACGAGGGGCAGCTGCTGTGGACTGGAGACTGATAACACATGCTGGCCTTTTCAGTACTTCCCACGGAAAGCATGTGGGACGCTGAGGACACTGCCCTCGAGCAGGCTGCTGGCTCGGTGCTGTGGGGGAACCGTGAGGAGCACTGATCACTGTTCGCCTTTGTGGACTCAGTCCACAGTGAGACAGTACAAGACAAAAAGGGAGCAAAAGGGTCTATGCATTAAAAAGAAAGTATGCATATACTTACACATGCCAAGGACATGTTACATGTCCAGCTACCCCAGTTATTTGTTCATAGCAAGTACTAACTCCAAACCATACCTAACTGCTTCCGAAGCAGCGATGCCAATGTGTAGCAGTAGAACAAAGCAGCCATTCGATTTCTAAAGCAGACGCTGATGGTGTCTTTGGGTAAATGGAAAGGGAAATATGTATATTTGTGTTAGAACTGGAAAGATAGTTGTTTCTCTTTGTGGGAATAAGTATCTGTATTTATGTCTAGGTATCATTTAATTTATTTTATCACTGATGAATTGGTCTCAAAGAGGGAACACCCTGAACCTATCGTAAGTATCCCTAGACCCAAGTAGGCAGTTTAACTAGTCTGTTCCATACGCTTAATTCCTGTTAGTGGAAGCAGGAGACAAACAAGTCATGAGGGTGGGCTGCTGAGGCTTGGATTCATCCTACCTAACTGCAGGCACCTACACGTGAGCTCCTCTGTTGTGAGCCAACTCTTCAAACCAGTGCTGAGTGAGAATCGTCTGAAGAGAAGTTTGGCTCACCTGAGAACTTAGTAGCCCTCTGGAGATGTCTGGGTCTCCCCACTAAGGGCGGGGACTACTCCATGTGTTTAAAGTAATACAGGATGAATCCAAACGTGGCCTGCAATCTCTGAGCCTTTATCAGCCCTGCAGTCATTTCCTTGACTATAGCATTCAGGGTTTGGTCAGTCTGGCAAAAAGATTAGAAAAAGCAGTAGTACTTTTATTTTGGCATATCATCTTCTCCATTCCCAAATTAAAGCCTTTATTTTGGAAAAAAGCTAATAATCTTGATAATCAGAACCACTTCTGCTAGTTTAACTTAGTGGGACAGAAAATTGGTTAAGTAGAAGTATAATTGCAGCAGTCTTGCAGCCTTTACTCAAGCAAATTCCTACTGAAGTTGGGAAGAGTTCTTCTTGAGTAAGGACCAAGTTGACTGTGCTGTGTGTTTTACTGTGCTGTCTCAGTGTGCGATACAAGTATGGAAAAGATGTAGGTCTATATTATACTGAAATCTGGACAAGCGGCATATCTGAGAATTCATCATATGTAACCTACTATGTGTTTTTTAATATTTATCAGCATCTTTATGCAAAATGTTTTTTTTTTTAATTTTGCTGTTCACACTTTCTCAGGCTTACGTATAATATGTAATGACTGTTGGAAATAATGGAGCCTGGCAGTGAACTCATTCACCTCTGTAATCCACATTCTTGTAAAAGTATTGTGTAAGTGCCACGACATTAGCCAAAACAACCCCAGCCCAGCAAACCCACTTCCATGGTGTATCTGTATCAAATAAGGCTGTTGATAGGAGTAGTATGTTCCATAATGTGAGGAAGAAAACAGATATTGAAAGAACATTTTTGAACTTAAGTGGATGGAGAGGGTGGAATTGTCAAAGTGAGTAAGATCTTAAAGAAGTAATGGTTCTTGTTTATTCAGTGTTTTTGTTCAAGAACGTTATAAATGTTTGTTTCATTCCTTCTGTGTCAAGTCTTCTTCCCAGAATAAATTTACTCTTGAAGAAATCTTGACTGACTAGAGTCTTGATCTTTTATTCAGTTTTTAATAAAAGCACTTTAGTTTGGCTTTTGTTTATTTAGTTGTGGTTGGGAGGGGGGGTTGGTTTGTGGGGGGTTTTTGTTTGTTTGTTTGCTTGCTTGTTTGTTTTAAAATAAGCCTTACATTTGGTGCCTTCTTGGAGGAGTACTACCTCCTGGCAGCTGTGCTCTTTGTGCTGGTTCATTGGCCATGTGATGTGAGTCTAAGCATGTAATTTCTGCAGTATACCAAGAGCTTCGTGTAAAGTTTAGCCCTTGGATGCCAACTCTTCTGAAACTAACTGCAACGCTGAATTAAAATGGAAGATCCATAACACCTTGGAAGAAGGAAGAAGGACAGGCAGTTGGACTAGGTGGTCATTGTAGGTCCCTTCCAACTGAAATTATTCTATTCTGTTCTATTCTATTCTTGTTCTGTCTTGTGTCACCTCTGCCTTCTACTTTCAAGGCAGTAGAAGCTGAAGACAGTTAATAACTTAAAAACAGTTGATTAGTTAGCCCTTAGTTAGCCCTTTTGCTAACTCTTCAAGTGGGTGTAAAAGCACTTGTACAGATGATGAACTAGGTGAAAAAATACATTTATAAGTGTAAAGATGCTGGATTGTAAGTGGTGTGTGTAAGGCAAGGAGCTCAAGGATTTGTAGGTGACTGGGGATGGAAATGGGAGAAGAAACAAACTGAAGCCTCAGGGATACAAATTAAAGTTACAGTTCCCTGTTGCCTCCCCCGGCAGCGCAAATAAGCTTAAATGTGGAGAGGACGTTTTGTTGAGTGTGTAAACCGGCCGTTTCTGGCGGCACAAAACAATGGCAGACTGCCCCATGCAGCGCCTCACTTGGATGTGTCTGCAGTCTTGGAAGCTTGACTACCCTACGTTCTCCTACAAATGGACCTTGAGCTTGTTTGGAGGTTCTAGCAGGGGAGCGCAGCTACCGTATACCCTTGACCGATGAACGGTACGTCTCTATCGGGGAAGGTCGTCCTCTTCGACCGAGCGCGCAGCTTCGGGAGGGACGCACATGGAGCGGTGAGGGAGGAAGGGGACACCCGCCTAGCCAGCCAGATCAGCCGAATCAACCCTGGCGATCAATGGGGTGACAGATGTCGCAGCCAGATCGCCCTCACATCCAGAACAAGTTTGCGGTCGCAGCACTATATAAGGGTCAGAATATCAAATCATCTTAATGATACGGCGAGCTGCCCAGACTGCCAGTGCAGTGACAGATACTGTGGATTCACCTCATTGTAACAATAAAACTTGTCTGAGTAAAGCGCTTAAAAATATATAGTGTTTTTCCTTGCGTTATATTTTCCTCCCAGAAGCCATTGCGAAATATGCAGATCAGCGGCTTTCTATTGGTGGCTGTCCCGCTTGTCACCGCTGCTTAGCGCGGAGACTGGGAGCGAAGCGGTGGCGACTGCAGCTGCTGGCGGGGC